CTGTGGCGCAGGTTTAGGAGTAGTTATGAGCTAAATGCATTTATCAAATTACAGATAACATCCAAACGCACTTCAAAATCACACAGTTTTAAAAAGCTTCATAAATTAGACCAAAAGCTGTTGTAGATATTTTAGATTCTGACAAACCTTTCCATCTGTATCCACTCCCAGGAGCTCATCTTCCAGGATCTGCAGCGCTGTTTGCTGCGTCGAGTGGATGAATGTTCCCCTGTAGACGTGAGCAATTTCGGTGGTGGGTCTATGAGAGTTCGCCATCCTTTTAATAGATCAGTCGGAGTCGCGCAGCAGCAGCAGCGTACCGGGGTTTTGTACTGGGGGAGCTCCGATCACCACGGCGCACCAGGACGCACGACTCCACCTGACTGCAACGCCGCTCTGCAGCCAATGAGAATATAGGGTATGTGTCTATGTGTGTGTGCTGGGGTTCATCTGACCGTCACGTTGTTTTAGAATAACTATCCACCGGTCAGAGCACACAAGACTGAGTGATTAACTTATGTTTCCAGGTTTGCTTTTGTTTTAAAGCTGACATCATAAACCGATGGTTATCAGTCAGTTGCAGGGCGGAACTGGGAGCACCTTTGAACTCTGCCCGGTAATATTTTATCACAGTGACCAAATAGCCTCAGTGACACATGAGTCACAAGGTGCTGCTCCTCCTATATAATACCGAGGAACTCACAAGAGTTATATGGCAAATAACACGTGGGTCAGATGCAGAAACTGGGCACATGACTGCGTTACCCTCCTGCGCACATTTATGTCAAATATTCTGATCCAAGCCTTGTTGCGCAAAATCCAACTTCACATTTATTAAACCTCAAAGAATGAGGGGAGAGTGCTGGTGTTAAGGTATGACTGAAATGAATGAAACAAACATCTCAGCAGCCCAGTCTCACCAGTTCAATATTTAGACAATTCTAATTTTATTAATTTTATATTTGTCATCTTGGAAGATAATACTTCAGTCAGTGTAACAACTGTCATACACCAGGTCTCCTATATGTTCCAAGTAGCTGCAAGAGGACCTGTGGATTCTTTAGTGTGTATCAAATTATAATATTTACAGGTTTTTAATTCCTGTAGGCCTAAACACATGGTCCCTGGAGACCAAAGTGCATTTTGGGTAGTAAGCTGCAGAGAAAGAAGGCTATATATAGACATATGAAAGAGGACATTCTGTACCACCTGACTGTCAAAAGTAACAGCAGCATATTTACATTTAAACATACAGTATAGGAGGGCACACAAAAGTATATAGACACTTCTGTAAGCACACATACGTGTTCCAGTTGGCTACACTGTTTTGGGTAGTTGCTTGTTCCAGTTTCAGTTTTTACCCATGTTTGTCATATAGGTCCTCATAGTGTTTGAGATGTTTCCTCATAGTCAGTGTAAAGGGGATTACTTTAAAAATGTAGTAAGATACAGATTTACACTGTCAAAATGTAAAAAGTTATGTAAAATTATAATTACTTAATCAAAGTAATGTAACTAATTGCATTTGTTTTTTTAACAAAGGTTATAAACTGGACATTTAAGCTGAAAAATGTTCAGACGTAGTCTAAAAGAAGGCACGTAAGCAAAACAAATATATTTAAATGTAAAGCCTTTGAAATCACCAACATTTTCATAAGTAACTAATTTATTTATTTTTTTAAATTCTAGTAACTATGACAGACTACACTTACATTTATTTCTAAAATTACCTGTTACTCTGTTACCTGTAACTAGTTACTCTCCAACACTGCTCAAAGCAATCATGAGCACTGTCAGTGTTATGACTGGTTACATGTACAACCCAAATTCCATGGGATGTTATGTAAAATGTCAATAAATATGAATGGAATGATTGCAAATCCTTTTTGACCTATATACAGTTGAATGACAATATGTTTAATGCTGAAATGGATAAACTTTATTCTTTTTGGTAAATGCACAGTCAGTCTGAATCCGATGTCTGCAACACCTCCCAGAAAAGTTGGGATAAGGGCAACAAAAGACTGGGAAAGTTGAGGAGAGCTCGAGAAACATCCCATAGGTAAACAGGTTAATGTGCAACAGAGAACAGTATCATTATTGGGTATGAAAGTGGCATTCTCGAAAGGCTCAGCTGTTCACAAGCAGGACAGTGCCAGGCTCACCACTTTGTGAAAAACTGTCAGGGCAAATAGTTCAACAGTTCAGGGAATTCAAAGAATCCAAAGAGAGCTTTACACATAAGATGAAAGGAGGAGCACCATTATTGAATACCCATGATCTTTAAACCTTCAAGCCAATATGACTATATAAAGGATGTTACTACATGGGCTTAGGGAACACTGTGGAAAAACATTTATGGTAAACACAGTTCATCGCTGCATCTACAAATGCAAGTTTAAAAGTCATATATCAACAACATCCAGAAATGCGGCTGACTCCTCTGGCCCTGAGCTCATCTGAGATGGAATGGCACAAAGTTGAAAAGTGTGCTGTGGCCTGATGAGTCCACATTTCATTGTTTTTGGAAATTATGGATGTTACGTCCTCTGGGCTAAAGAGGAAAAGGACCATCCAGACTGTTACTAGTGCAGAGTTCAAAAGCCAGCATCTGTGAATGTATGGAGGAGTGTTAGTGCCCATGGCTCATGGGCAACTTGCTTACCTGTGAAGGCACCATAAACACTGAAAGGTGCATCCAGGTTTAGGAGCAACATATGCTGCCATCCGTCAACGTCTTTTTCAGGGATGTCCCTGCTTTTTCCACAAAGACAATGCCAAGCCACATTCTGCACGTGTACAGCAACAGCATGGCTTTATAGTAAAAGAGTATGGGTGCTACAGTGGCCTGCCTGCAGACCAGACCTGTCCTCCACTGAAAATGTGTGGCGCATCAAGAAGCACAAGATACCACAACAGTTGTTGAGCAAGTGAAGTCGTTTGTCGAGCCAGAGCAAGAAAGAATCTCAATTTTAAAAACCTAAACAATTAGTGTCTCCAGTTACTAAGAGCTTACTGAGTGTTGTTGAAAGAAAAGGTGATGTAACACAGTGTTAAATACGCCCCTGACCCAACTTTTTTTGAAACATGTTGCAGGCATCAAATTCAGAATGAGGGTATATATATACAAAACACAATTATGTTTATCAGTTTGAACATTAAATATCTGGTCTTTGTACTTAATTCAATTGATTATAGGTTAAAAAAAAGATTGCATATCATTGCATTCTGTTTTTATTGACGTTTCACACAGTGTCCTAACTTTTTTGGAATTGGGGTTGTGATTAAATAACAAAAAACTGTAATCCGTTGCAGTTCTTGTGAAAAAAAATATGTAATTAAATTACAGTTACTAATCAAAATGATGGTGATTACAAAGGGGTAACATCTGCATATATTTGGCTTTTTGGTAAAAAGCTCATTTCAAATAAAACATTAATTCTGTTGCTTTGTGTCTTTTCATCATGCAGGAATGCTTCTTTTGGTATTTCCTACATCCTTTTTTTACCTAGTTTAAAACATCTTGTGGTGAGCATGGATTCTTGGCTTTTATTTTATGAACATTTCTGGAGTCTACTTCCTGTGTGGGTTGTGTGCTGCTGTGTTTACCTGTCTCCAGAGGCTTCTCCCCTCCCCCGCCCTGCACTGAGGCTGAGTGTGCACACCTGAGAGTCATCTGCAGTCAACGGGCTTTAAGACTGCCACCGACTCTAGCCTCAGTGCCAGAGTATTTGCGACTGCACGCAGTGTGTCTCCTTCCGTGCCTCACAGCAGCCCACAGCCCAGCACTCTCACCTGGTTATCCCACTCTGCACCTGGACTCCGAATCTCCTTTGTTCTCTGCATCATTCTGGCTCAATAAAACTGTTAAACCCTTTTCCCTCGGTCTGTCTGCATTTTGGGTCCATAACCTCGCTGTCACCACACATCTGTTAGAAAAGTAATCAAATGTGCTAAGTAACATTACTTTTATGAAGTGATTAAAATAGCAACATTACTTATTTCATTTCTAACGGGGTAACTAGTGCTCTGTAACATTGTGTCACATTAAAAAGGTATCCTTCCCAACATTGCATTATGTCTTCATAATAATGAGGTAATGATGGAGTGGTTAGCCTATTGCTAATATCCAGGTAATATTCTGTAAGCAGGTAATGATAAAGGTACTAAATGGGGAGAAAATGTTGCATAGTGTGATAATGATAGACCAATTCACAGTACACTGGGTAATTAAAAACAAAAGTAATACAGTAGTTATAGTGCCTTTACAAGCACAACCTAAATCTCCTTTTTGTGCCAGTCCGAAAGTTTCTTTAAAGCTAACAAATAGAATTTTATCTGTTAAACAGAGACAGCAGCTTCTAGTCTATAAACCTTTCAGTTGGAACAGATCCAGAATCAACATAAGGTCTGCATGTCGAACGTACAGTCATGAGTATAAGCAGAAGAAAGCCATGTTAAACTTCATCAGTGGCATTCATAAAGGGTCATCCCATGAGTTCATTCATTCCTCCTTCAATCTGTCATGATGTCACATGTCCTAATGAGGAAGTAAGGTTTGACATGTTGCCACAGTGTTTAAATTTATCAACCCCTCATGATGAATGACTCCATACGCTCACTTTAGATGGCCGTGTTACTGCAGGTTACTTAGTTACTGGCAGAGTAAAGGGCAGCTGAAAATAGTGATGGAAAATGAAAAGTTATGCTTAATCATTTTCTGCCAGACAAGTGTATGAGTGAACTGCTTCACAGCTGCCTACAGAAAAGTCTCTCAGCCGCCCAGTGGTAAACAAAAATTTGAAAGGCGTTGGGGATAACTTACTTGAAAAATGTGCAAACTGCACATTTATAAGCCATATTCATAATTCTGAGGAAAATCTATTAGATACTTTTATTGCATTTAATTTTCTTTATTCTAGAGGGGAGTATACAAAATATAGGTTGAAGACAAGCCCAAAAAAGCTCGCTAAAATTAAAAGAAATATAATTTTTTGTGGTTATACTGAAATGTGTTTTAATATGTAGTTAACCCTCAATAATATGCAGTGAACAAAACATGACAAGCACTTCTCATCATAATGATGCAATTCAAGTGTCACTAATTACAGCCTCTATTATTACAAAGTTACATCAGCACCTCTCTACAGCAGTTTTAAAAAGACTGAACATGATAACTTTCATGAATGTAGACAGAGCCAGTTCCTGATGTTCTAGCAAAGCCTGAACTTCTGTTTTTAGTGCTGCTGACACTTCAACACCTCTATTAGTTCAATTATTGTGAGAAGAATGGGTTGCGTAGATACACAAATTTTAAATAAATGCACACCATGTACATGTCTTTATTCCATTCTATTCAAATGTGCGGTATATATCCAGCTGGTTTTATTTGTGAATAGGTTTGTGAATGTGCAGTACATTATACGGCTCATCTGAGTATCATCACATCTCAGACCTTACACTGTACTTTGATTTGTGAACTTGCTTTATGTACATATTTTTTTCAAAAGAAAAAAAAAAAGGTCCACTTGGTACAAAAGAACCCTCTCACTGTCGTTTCAATGTCGTTAGTCTTTAACTTTGACTCTGGATACATCTGGAAGCACATCAGACTTTTTCTGCGCCTTCTTGGTTTCTGAGTCACATTGGAAATCCTCATCATCATCTTTGAGGTCACTTAAGTCGTCGTCATCATAATCATCGTCACTGTCCAAGTCATCCAAGTCCTTCTTCCCTCGTCCACATCCTTTCTTAACCTGTTTAACATCCTCCTCTTCCTCTTCATCGTCCCCTTTGTTTATTCTACACAGTGGGAGAAAAACAAAGTGAGGCAGTGTCAACTGGAATCTTGGAAGAGCAAAGTAGAAATCCCTCAGGCCATGGTTTGAACCTCATAATGTGAACAAAATAAATAAATAAATAAAATCACATATGAGAATAAATTGATGCCAACATGTTAAAAGAAAACAATTTCTGTAAAGGGCAATAAATTGAAATGAAAAGACAGAGGCTAAAGTGCTGCCAGTAAGTTAAGCTAATTCCAAGAATCCGTTGTAATGTATCTCACTGTCCACAAGATGGCAGACTTGCAGTAGAAATTCTTGTACGGATCTGACAATGATTTAAAAAAAATATTAATGAGATTGTGATTTTACCCTGCCCTCAGATGAAAAACCCACATAACACATTTTTACAATCATCTTCTACAACGTGAGGACATCAAATATGAATTGCTTCTTCATGAGTCACTGATAACAATGTGGACAAGAAAAGCCCAGACTTGGCTTTATTAATAGGGACATATTTTCTCATTAGTAAACAGAAAGGTTGATCATTTCAGTAAGATCAGTCCAAAGTGACTTTATAGTATTTTATGCTTTTTCTGTATGAATCTACACACACAAATTCAAACACTCTCACAATACAGGACCACTCACGGAATAATGATGTCCTCTTTCTTCCCACACTTGCAGCAGATCTCAAGCTGAAGAGAACAGGGTTTACAAACAATGTGGTATGCATCCTTCACTGTCTTCTGAGAGCACTTGACACTGAAAGAAGACAACATGCATGCACAAATGTCACACATTTTCACACTGGAACCAACTACAACTGTCTTTGAAACACAAATAACAAATCCAAAACACCAACACTCTATTGCATATATTCAACATGTGACACATCTACAAAGACCATGTGAGTCTGACTCAGCTGATAAAGCAGAGGTTGCCATGCCAGCACGAGATAACTGGAAATCTGCAGGACATCAGGAGCTTTCCTGAGTGCCTGCTGAACTGTGGACCCACAGTTACTCCAGCAACACCAAACACCAAGCACAGGTTTTGCTAATAAGACTAACTCTGTTCTATTTAAGTGGTCCAGTGAGAGTGACAGAGAGTAAGCATGCAGGATACATGCATCCTGAAATCAAAGCATGCTAAATGGAATTCAGCCATCATTCATTTTATCATTTACACCTGTGTTGTTCCTACTGTGGCATGTCAAAATGTCTCCTGTGAAAAATGCCTATGCACTCAACTTGCCAACTGGTTTGCTACAAGCATGCATCCTTTTAACTTAAACGTTAAGACTCAAACTTTAGCTCAAAGTGATGACTTAACTTTTTTTAAACAGCCTTACCTGAAGCTTCTTCCTGTGTAGCAATTTCACAATGTTATGAAGCTAAACTTAGCTGTTGTGAGCCTGTAACTTCCAAGTGTTTCGGCTGATAAATTAATACACCAAAAAATTGAGGTGTAAGCATAATCCATATTGAGCTTGCGTATTGACTGTAACAGATCTGATCATTTCAAATGTATGTGGTTATGAGCAGTTGTAGCAGTGCAGATCCATGTGTAATGAATGTCTGTAGTATCTATGTATACTCACCATTTTTTGGGCTGTGTCAGTGCCTTGTATTTGTTGTACTTCACTTTCCACTCAAGAACACCCTTACAATGTTGACAGAGGCCATCATGGATCTTTGAGTTTGCCTTCTGTAGTTAAGATAGTGGAAAGGTTATATTAATAATAATGTTATAACATGGCTTTGACAAAGCAACGGGTTGTTAAGGTAGGGTTTAAAGGAAATGCATTATCGTTGACAATAATGATAGCAGGAGAAACTGTTCATTGCTTAACAACAAAAAACACTCCTTAATTTCATTTTTATACATAATTTCTAAGCAACGCTACATCAATGTCGTTTCAGATAAACAAAAGTTATACATAGTTTCGTCTTAAACAGCACTTTGTTAACTCTATAATGATATACACATTGTAACGTTAATTCAAAACGTTAAAGTGTCTTTACATGAGCTCAGTATCTATGCAGGCTAGCTACACACGCCATATTACTTCAAGGTTCACACACCTTCACTTGTACAGTCGCTCCGTACTTATCATTTTTGTAGGCAGTGCTGTTTTGGTGCTTCTGGCCTCGCGACCGAGATACGTTACCCTTCTGAGAACTCATCTTATTTTCCAATCTTTAGATAAACACATGATATGGACCCAAATACCATGCCGGAGAGAAGATAACCCGGAAGAAGTACGACCACGTCATGAAACGTCATTGAGGTAAAAACGCGAATTTTCCACTTTTCTCAAAAGTGGTTAAAATTATGAAACCAAAGAGCTGTTTGTTAGGGAAAGAGCAGGGAAAAAACTTTTTTTACGTTTAAAATACGCTTTTAAAAAAAGTTACAGGTCAATGACGTCACCGATTGAACGTTAGAAACCCTTCCAGCGGTGCTGATTGGTCGGCGCCTCGCAATAGTAATCACCGGTTGGCTCTTCTATAAGTCAATTAAAACATTAGGTCACCACTCTGCGGCGTCGCCAAGGAACCGCCCATAAATGCCTACCCTTACTCCCATTGGTGGGCTCGTTTCACTAACCTCGTTCCTATTGGCTCGAACAGCTGTCAATCACTTCCCTCCTTCCTTACAAGCGAAGATAACAAGCAGAGTGATATTCACAACGAAAGCGGTGATGTTTCAGAGGCAAGTGATACTGCTGTGAACTGATTGAAACCGCTACGGACGCGTGACAAGAATTTAGTTAATTTTGGACCTTTAGCGAATTCACCCATGTCGCTGCTGAGCTCTATAGACTTGAACGTTTTGAATGAATCGACCCCGTTATCATTCAGGACCATATGTTGAGAAAGCCGAGCGGAGAGAAAAGAAACGACAGTTTCGGAGGCTGTCTGGACCCGGAGGACGAAGCTGCTAGCTAATAGTAACTCCCAGCTGTGGTGCCAAGAGGGATATACACACTCAAAGTGCCATAGCCAACAAACAGGACACGGGACAAAGGATAATCTTGCCGAGGATAACGTTGTCAATCTGCTGGCGTCGTGAAGAAGACAAGTTAGTTGGCTTGGTGCGAAGATATTAACACCTGACCACGGCTACGTTGGCCAATACTGTCACCTTAAAATAGAAAGGAAAACAAAACAAGCGTCCAGCCGCCGTCCAGGTAATGTTGTGATCATTTCTCTACTCTGTAAGAAACATCTTCAGTGTTGCTTGCTAATTGGCCCATCACACTCAGCAATAATTGTGTCTAGCTACTGGAAATCAAACGTCCACAAACCAGCCCAGAATCATTCTAATCTCTCCCAACACATTGCAGCCTCCACCACCATTTTACAGTAAGTCGCTGCGGGGCTCTATTCTGTCTCCGCGGATGGCAGATTATGGACTATTTTGGGGAATATGGGAAGCAAATAGCCTCCACTATGTATTCTGCTGCTGCGTGCTCTTTTTGAATGTCACAGCATCTTGTATAAGTAGCATTCACAGAGCACAAGTGGCTGCAAAAGTATCCACTCTCAAGCATCTCTGGCACAGCCAATCGTTTGTAGAAGTGGCACACAGGTAATTAAGTGGTATTGAAGTCACCTGTGATCAAGAATTTTAGGCTTTAACACACGTGGTCAAACAGCTGGTTAGACCACTTCCTTGCAAATCTGCAAAAGGAGGAGCGGACCATTATAAACAAATCCACCACAAATAGATTGAATGTCCTCATCAGTAAAGTTTGGGAAATTGCAAAATAACTAACTGAAGTAAATCTGCTGAATGCCTTCTAGAAAATTTTTAAGTGTGCAAGAAAATTGCTGGTGAAGCAGGCCACCAAGAGGCATGAGGAATGTGCTTCATCTTTCATAGTTTTTACAAGAGTAAGTCACTCTAAACAGCAATACATTATGCTAAGATGCTTCTCTGCAAAGCTTGTAGAAGCTACAATAAAATAAATTAGCAATATGCTGATGTGTCCTGGCAAAAAAGCAGCTGCAGGCTGAGAGTTTCTGTTGCATGATCACATAGACTAGGATGTAATTGGAAAGATGTAATAGCAGGGTGTAGCCTAAGTTCCTACTCAAGCACCTTCATTTGAAATCCAATCCTAAACACATTGTCATAACCTGACAGTGATGTGTTTTGGCCTTGTTCGAAAGGGCATGTGTAGTTATGCAGAGTCAAATTACTTGTGCAAGGCATTCCTGGAGGATATTTTGTTAGGTTGACCAGCTTTGGTGTCGCCAAAGTGAGCTCTGCTGACATGTTTAGTGCCAGTCGGCCAGCGAAATACAAAAGCAGCCGGAATATCTAAAAGGTAGCCTTAGGTAGGGGTCCAGGTGCAGAGAGGGAAAAAAAAGAAAGCCTTTTAAGTCAATACTGTCTGAGTGGTTGTGGAGCCTCGAGGCAGCCAGAGAACAAACACTCAATCAGAGTCACTATGTCTTTTTTATAATCCTGGCTAAAGAGAGCCATGCGTTCTGGAGAGGGGAATTGATAGTGTATAAAAAGAAAGGACAGCAGCCTGGCCTTAGCCTCCAGTCCCGGAACCCCCTGCTCTTCCACTTAACAAAGACAAACTGTTATTATATTCTCAGAGAAGACATCATTCAAGACTTCTGTGGGGAATTGCTCTCGTGGTGATCTCCTTGTGATCAATTTGCAGGGGGTGCAGAGGCAAATTTAGTTGTTTGAGAGAGTGTAGATGCTCTTGTTTGATGAGATTGCATCCTTTTTTCTCTTATTAGTTCTCAAAGGCAACTCTTACATTTTAATCAGCTGATGAAATGTATCTGCTTCTATTTTAACGTTTCTCCCTCTCCCTGTCACAGTGTTTTGAGGATGAACCACTTATCCCTCAGCGAGCTATGTTGCCTGTTCTGTTGTCCACCGTGCCCCAGCAAGATCGCCTCCAAGCTGGCCTTCTTGCCCCCAGAGCCCACCTACAGCCTCATGTCTGATGACAGTGGCAGCCGATGGACGCTGCACCTCTCCGAGCGCGCCGACTGGCAGTACTCGTCCCGTGAGAAGGACGCTATCGAGTGTTTCATGACACGCACCTCAAGAGGGAACCGCATCGCCTGCATGTTCGTCCGCTGCTCACCCAGCGCCCGGTACACTCTATTATTCTCCCACGGAAATGCAGTGGACTTGGGTCAGATGAGCAGCTTCTACATTGGCCTGGGTTCACGGATCAACTGCAATGTCTTCTCCTACGACTACTCGGGTTACGGGGCAAGTTCTGGGAAACCTTCAGAGAAGAACCTGTATGCTGATGTAGATGCCGCCTGGCAGGCACTCCGGTCACGGTAAGGAGAGATGATTGATGATGGTTGGGGGAGTACACAAATGTTTGCACAGCCTGTAGAGAAAGGATGCAGTGATTGATAAGTAGTGATGAATGTGTTGATATTAGAGTTATTGAATTGCACACAGGCCCAAAGTGTTGCTTTAAATCTATCCTGGGCACACAGTCCCGTAAGTGGACTTGAAATGCATTGCATCAAATTATGTCACAACCCAGAGCTGAAGAGGAAAGGGAAGTTGCATGACACACATTGGTAATGTAAAGGAACTGTAAGAACCTTCCTGTGCAGTTTATTCCTCTACATATTGCCAGTCTACAATGAGGCTGTCAGCTGTGTAAACCATGGGGAAAGAGTCATATTAATAGCAGCTCCCTGGTCACGTCATTCCCATTGACAGCTTTGCTTTGGTAGCAAGAGATAATGTTGTGAATAACAACAATGGCAACCTTTCTTGTTGTCCTCAGACTGTGAATGGCGACAGCTATGGGGAAGTAAATGGGGACTTACTGAAACAAAAACTGATGTAAAGTCTTGAGAAGCCAGCCTCTTGTAGGTTGATAAGGAGAATCACAGAGACACGAAGCAATAGCAGGAGGAGTTGAAGATGTAAAAAGTTTACAGCAGGAGCTGGGTGGAGGGATGATTAGATTGGACCTGATAAAATGATGGGTGGAGATGGCAAGGAACGGTTGAGTTGGGATGACATGATGTTCTTGTAGGAGGTAATAAGGAGCGTGTTTTCTGTGATTATGTTGGCCAGCCATATGTAGGTGTGAGTGGGAGCTCTGCTGCATCTTTTTGCTCCGCAGGCTATGAATAGACTGATATCTATTGGCCGATATTCGACTTCTTCTTCTGATTTCTCAGCTGATACAACTTACTTCTTCAGTGCTTCTTGTGTTTGCTTTAATCTGTATCATAGCCTTGTAATGATAATGAAAGAAGCAATGACTTGTGCTTTTACATCGCAGATGGTCCAGAGGAATTTGCCGTAGAATTCCTGCTCTATTACATTATATTAAATCATGTCATTTAGAAACTAGACTTACAAGTGAACTGCTGGAAACATTTTTTTCTTAATTTCATCATGTTGTCTCCATTTATTACTCTCTTTTCATGACATACAAAAAATAATTAAATATAATAATTTAATAAAACACTAAATTAAATGACAACAAACATGACACTGTATGTAGATAGATATTGCTTTGTTAGATTCTGTATAACGATTAAAATTCCATCTGATCTGACTCTGCTTACTGCAGGCATGGACTCTTCTCCCCAGATAAGATTAACCTCATGTGCCTCACTTCCTTTCATCCATGTTTAACCCTGTTGTCACTGCTTCCTTTTGCCCTTTTTATGACACAATAGGCATTGTACTTCATGACTTTGGGGCTGGTTTGCCACATGTATGTAGAGCTGAACCAGTTAGCTATTTTTCAAGCTAAATGGTGAATCTTTTCTGGCTCCAATTTCTCAAATATTTTAGATGATGTTAAACTAAATATCTTTGGAGCAAGCAATTAAAGATGTCACCTTGGGTTTTGGAAAAATTGTGAAAAATGTTCACTGTTTGTTCGAGAAAAGGTTGACAGATAAATTGTTAATGAAAATAGCTGTTATTTGCAGCCCTACAGAGCGCATAAGATCGATATCCTTTCTCCGCATAAACATAAAGCACGCGGCCACTCACCTGTTCTGACAGAGAACAGGATGTGGTGGAGGATTGTACAGTGTCTGTCTGTGAGTACGAGTGGAAATATCTTGTCCATCATATTCATGCCATTTTGTTTACGTGGATGAGGGGGAAAATAAAAGTTCAGCCTGGTTGCTTTTGTATACTTCCTGTTGGAAGACAAACAAATGAGTAAGAGAGGAGAAGGGGAACTTTGGCTCGGAAAAACTAAAGGCAGGAAG